CCCGCTGCTTGTCTTCTATTCGATAGGCGGATCATCAGTAATAAAGAACCAGGTGTTGAGCTGATAGACAAGGTCGTTATTCTGTTGCAATCTGCCATGACTAATCTCTCTCTTGTATTGTATAGGTTGATTTCTCTCTTTTCAACCGGTAGACATGTCGAAAGCAAATGGCCGGTAGGTGTTGACTACATGCTCATCATTGGCAGGGTATTGCAAACGTCGTGGAAAAAAAAACAAGCATCAGATTGGTCGGGAAGTTAGCCCTTATAATATCATCCTTCAACCCATGGATCAATTGGGCTTCTATCTTGGCTGCGTGATGGCAGTCCAACTGGAAATGGAAAGCCGATAGAATCAAGATATCATCAATCAATTGGATTTTAGATTCAATCGATGGATCGATTGGGCTTCCATCTTGGTTGCGTGCTGGCAGTTCAACTGGACATGAAGGAATGGAAAGGAAATGACTATCAACATCAACATGGATGTGCTACGTTACAGATTTGCTCAATGTATCCCTCCAATTTTGAGCCAATAATGGCGAACCTTAAGGATTACAGAACCCATTCACAACAATCAACGATAACCTACCTTGCAACGGTTTCCTGCTCCCCTGAGTAGCAACATGACTAAGCCGATAGATAGTTCAAGCGATGTCCGATTAATCTTGATTCTATCAATTCGTTCTTGGCTATGGAATCAACATGGCTAAGGTCAAGTTAACCATTACTATCCATCGTCAGCACTACAATCGAGATTGACAACAGGCAGTGATCGATATTCATCCCTATAAAATTTGCCTTCTTAAGTCTTCTTTTCCCCACCGTCAGACGGGCCCTATCACAACCCTTCCTGCAATCATTAACACGAAAGGAAACACCTATGTGGAAATGGCGTCATATCTGCTTGAACGGTAGAAAGGAATAGCCTTGTAGTCATTGGTCCCCCAGGTAAAAATCAATTCCAGTTGCCTATTACACTAAGCAAACTACAGTAATGAAGAGTAGACAAGTTGATCGTTCTACTGGTCATGTTGAGAAATGCCTTTGCTTTAACAGTGGGATACTCTGCGTTTCTACTTTGCAGTACTCTTGGACAGTATCGCATGGAGTAATTACTGGGATAGATGGAATAATCTTGTTCTGTTTAAGCGATTGATTGGTGTCGTTATTTCAATAATTGAGTCAGATAAAATAATAAGCCAGCTCCCAATAGGTCTACTACAAATTGTGCAGCTTGACTAGCTTGCATTGGTGATTAGAACAGTCTTTTCTAATGAATCATCCGTTTAGTACAGTAGTCACACAGATCTTGCAAGGGTTGATTCCTACGGTATTTCGGCATCGTAGATGCTGGATTCTTCTATCCTATTAGCACTACTTGTGCTTGCAAGGTAACTTGATTGTTCTCCTCTTCTCATAAGGAAAGCCTTTCTAGCTTTAGCGTTCTACTGTAGAGCAGTCTACAACATGGATTACCTTATTCTAACGAGTAGTACTTGCATATTGTGAAGAGAGGTTTGCTAGCTTGATCGTCCTACTGTAGTCTCTTCCAATAGGGGAAAGCTCTCTCTAGCTTTAGCCTTGTACAGGTTGAAGAGAGGTTTGCTAGCTTGATCGTCCTACTGTAGTCTCTTCTAATAGGGAAAAGCTCTCTCTAGCTTTAGCCTGTACAGGTTAAAGAGAGGTTTGCTAGCTTGATCGTCCTACTGTAGTCTCTTCTAATAGGGGAAAGCTCTCTCTAGCTTTAGCCTTGTACAGGTTGAAGACAGGTTTGAGAACGTGACCGTTCTCCTGAAGTCTCTTGTAGCTTAAACGTTCTTCTATAGAGCAGTCTACAACATAGATTGCCACATTCTAGCGAGTAGTACTTGCACATTGTGAAGAGAAGAGTGATAATTTGATCATTTTACTGTTCTCGAGTGCTTTGTAAACAGTGATTCGATCAGCGGATGCTTTACAATAAAAGCGATGACGAGTATTGCCAAATGATCGCCATGACCACTTGCACTTTGAAGTAATTCATTCAGGCGAGAGTGTCGGGTCTAGGCGAGACTCGTTAGGTTTTATCGTTCTACAACAGCCTTGAATATGACAGATTCGATAAGTTATCATCTATGGATAAACTCCTTCTAGAGTGATTAGCTCGACCTGTACTTTGCAAAGTCTACTAGACGAGCACTCCTTCTACCTATCATTACTGAAGTCAGGCGAGATAGATTGATTATGCAATTGAGGCCTATTTTACGAACATGACCTCATGACTGCAAGAACTGATCAAAATATTGTCTACAGTATCGCTATTTTTCTACACCATTCAACAACGATCCCATCCATGTTACAAATAAATCAAACAGTAGATGACAGAGCTTGCAATAACAAACTCAACTTCCTTGATAGTGCATAAAGATCAAGTAAAATCCAACACCATCCCATCACTATTACTGTACTTCAATCATGAGGCCACTGAGTGAAAAGAGCGGATTCAATAAACTGCTATTGATCCTTCATGTTAGTCATAACATGAAGGAAGAGAATTAATAAAAAAAGAGAGAAAATGCTTGATACGATACCTTTTCTGATGATGGAAAATGTGGCAATTTTCTACACTGGTCTACGCTAATCAAGGTTGTATTCCGTGGATGGCCAACAATCAGATCAAGTATGAAAAGAATTGAGGATCAATGTGTCTTGTTGTCTCCTTCAGCTTGTCGATAACCTAATGGTAAAGCGAACAAGTCCAGGGGGCAATTTATACACCTGCATTCGAGTGGAATGATTGCACAATTCTGCTTTTCACTGTGTCGACTCTATACTAAATGGTTTGCACTCCACTTCCGTTTGGGTGTCTGCAATCCATGGATGGATACCTTGACGAGGGTTATGGAATCAATTGAGCAATCATTGGGCTGTAGTAGACTGTATATTAATGATGAATTCTACTAATGCCAGCAGTTGATTTTGACAGTTGAAAGACAGCAATGGAAAAGACACATTAGCAGGCAGCAGGAGGGCTTGTATAGTGCAGAGGTTAAAGTAGGCAAATTCGCATTTTGCTGGACAGTGGACAACCCCTTTTAAATCAATATTCTTTATTGATCCTCTCGTCCTCTCTATTGTTATTCTTGCTTGACATAGCCAACAGAATTAGACGAATAGTGAGGGTTGGGCTAAAAGCTCCCCAATTCTCTTGCAATCAATATTGATGTTGATGTCCGGATGATGTAATTGAATTAGCAAGGCCATTGCAAGCTGAAGATAAACAAGCCACGACAAGGGAAGAGGGTAGTAGTCATGCAATATAGAAAGATTGATCCAATCCAATCATCATGCAGTAAAAGACTGCAATACCAGTCGATTTCTGCAAAAGATTGAGAATGCAACAGTCACGTAATAAAAAAAAAGACTAAAACTCTGCCAGTTTCTGCAAAAGATTAGTAAAATAAGCGAAGGACTGTACTAAACAATCACGCCATGCAGAGACTGAAATAGATTCCTTCGTAATAATCTGAAAGACTAAAATAGATTTTTCCAAAAGATTTTGGAAAGAAAAACAAATGACTTGTGGGAATACTATAGCATACAATTCTACCCCAAACAATCATGCAATGGAAAGACTAAAAATATAGTTGCAAAAAAGGGAAATGACTGCTGTAAATACTAAATACTATCCATGTACAGTAATTCTACTTTGTCCCCAATAGTTATGTCATGAAAAGATTAAAATTGCATTTCGAAAAGAAAAAAACGACTGCTATGAATACTATCCACGTTCTTCTATTCCTCCATGCAAAGCAAAGACGAAAACACGTCCATACCTCAAAAAGACTTGGAAAGGAAGAGAAGGACTGCAGTGTCTACTGTCCATATATGCCATCTCGATTGTCATACTTTGGAAAAAGACCATAATGAAATTATTAAAAATAATTTAGAAAAAGTAGGGACTGACTGCTGTGAGTACGGTCAATGGACTATTCCATCCCCTACTATCATGCTATGAAAAGACGAAAATGGATTTCTCAACAGGATCTACAGTATGCCAAGAAGATGAATCAATAAAAAGTAAAGCAACAATGACAGTCAATTACTATCCCATACAATCACCATGTTTTGATTAATAATAATAAATCAATATGTTGTCATTCAAATGATGACTTATGCTACTTGTCATGGCCACGATTTCAGCAGGGCTGCCAGCCATCGTGTCAATCTGTATCCAATCATCTGGCTTGAATAGAAAAGGATTCTTTTGAAACGTAAATCGAATGCATGGCGATGAAATCAACATTGGGCTCGCATCACATCTGGTAGCAAAAGGGACTGCCATCTTGACTATCATGGTGTGATGGCTGATTGTTATCGTGCAAATCCATCCCCTTGTCAAATGATGATCCATTACTCAATGATACATCCAATCATTATAATTGCATGCTTGTTGTGGAATAACTATCCAACAAAGATGCTTAACTTGGTCTACGTGATATTCAGATAATCCTACAATCGAAGCATGAATGCAGATCATTAAATCAACATAATGTTGCATCTTTGACCATGGCATTGCTTGCATGATCGATCGTCGACTACAGCGATTCATCAATCAATGTGTTAATAACAGTCATCATTCTCCTGCATATTTTTTATTATTATTTTAATTTTTAATGGGATAATCTCAGCTAGCTTGTGTAGTCATCGAGATTGTTATACAAGTCCTAGACAAACCCTTTTTCGTAACACTATCCTATGGTAAATGTGTCATCGATCAATAGAGTCATTCCTATTCTGTTAAAATCTGGTAAAGATGAGATAGAAGAATAGAAAATCTTTTATGCTTTATGTCATGATTGCTGCAATCATGCATTAATTCATCAATGTCATCCATTCTATGATTGACAATAATCATCATCGCCGGCTGAATCCTAAGCTCAAGATGTGCCTAGCACCAATTCTATCCTTGATTGCTTGCATGTCTGGCGGATGGGAGAGTGGAAACGTTTTGACAAGATGAATGAGAAAGCGGAACAACACCAAATGACAAAACTTCAGCCATCAGCATCTTCTGTTACTCCTCCATCATTCAGCATCGTCATGACCACATCCTCTCCTATTGATATCCCTATTCAAAAGCTCGTTCTCGGCCCTCTTGACAATCTACTTTTAATAGTAGGATAAGTGGAAATAAGGCTAATTATATATCAAGAAGGCTACAAAGATAGCAATCTCAATCGATGCTGCTCAACGCATTGGGCAGCATTGCAAAATTGCTACAGGCAGTAATAGACTAATTGAAATCGTCCGAGACAAAGGGCATTGGGGCGTGGAAAATTGGGCGGACACCACAAGAAAATCAATAATGAGTATTACTGAATAGGCTAACGGGGTGCCACACTGCCGGCGTTGTGGGCAGGCGAGTGTAGATTTTTCTGGAAATTGTCTTCTTTGGAGAAGGGTACAAGAGGAAGCAGGTATTTTACTTACTTTTGTAGGGAGGAAATGGACTAGAAGAGGGGATTCAATTAGCCAACGTAAAATTAGATAAGGTTAGATAAGGACATCAGGCAAGGTTAGATAAGGACATTAGATAAGCTTCGATTAGAAGAATGCATAGATTGCTGGGATGAGATAGAATTGCGAAGAATGGGCTAGCATAATGAGGTGTTCAATGATGCATGTGAATGATCTTTCAGTTTACTTAGGCGTTGATCTTGGCATGTATCGTAAATATGGATCATGGCAAACTTGAATGGGTAAAATTTCAGTATACTGTAGATGAGATGGAATTGCAAAGAATGGGCTAGCATAATGGGGTGTTAAATGATGATATGTGAATGATCTTTCAGTTTACTTAGGCGTTGATCTTGGCCTATATCATAAATATGGATCATAGCAAACTTGAATGGGTAAAATTCAGGATGGCTATCCAACAGTATCAAGAAATAATTCATGACGATGACCCTCAATACGTGTTATAATGATGAATAATTAATTAATGGATCTGAATTCTTTCAGTTTACTTAGGAGTTGATACCTAGTAAATTTTTAACATCACGGAATCATGACAGTAATATTGCTGTTATTACGAATGCGTTTGCATTCTTTCCGTTAACTTACGCATTGCTCCCGCATCGATTTTCAACATCAAGGAATCATGACGGCGATTCTTAATATGTTAATAATATTTATCTGAATTCTTGCAGTTTACTTAGGCATTGCTGCCTAATAGATTTCAACATCAGGAATCATAAAGGTGACTTATTAAAGTAGTAATTAGTCTACTTAGCAAATAAGTACGCAAAATTATCACAAGCCGGGGTTCCACTGGTTACAATTATTTAATAATGCATCTAAATTCGTTCAGTTTACTTAGGTACTGGACCCTTGCAGACTTTCAACATTTAGGGATAATGATGGCGATCCTTAATACGTGTTAAAATAGAATTCTAACACGTATTAATGGTCCGTCTAAATTCTTTTTTCAATTGACTTAGGCATTAACGAAGCAGATTTAGATCCTGCATTAATATTGACATCAATCATGCCAGGTTAATAATCAAGGAATAATTACGGGGATCCTTAATGATGTATTTGATTTCTTTTCAATTGACTTAGGCACTGAATTAAAGCATATTTGGATCCATAGTTAATATTGATGCTAATCATACTAGATTGTAAGGACCAGGATATACCAGTGGCCTGATATAGTGCATTATAACTATATTAACCATAATTATGCATCTAGATTCTTTTTTTCAATTTATTTAGGCGTTAATTTGACGCCAATTTGCATTTATAATTAATATCAATCATACCGGGCTGTAATATATAAAGTTCCAGGATATGTCTGTCATTCAACAGTATCAAGAAATAATTATGGCACTCCTTAATGATGCATCTGGACTACGTATTAATTTACTTGAAAGTTGTTCTCAAGAACATTTAAATACATGATTAGTATTAAGAAAAATTATCGCATCAGATTTAAATCCACAGTATACTCGTGAAGTCCTAGGATATGCCGTCCAACAGCAGGAGGGAAGATGTCATTGCATCGTTAATGATGCTGACGAATCATATTTTCAATTTTCTTAGGTGCAATCTTTAGCAAATCTGTATCTTTAGCTCATGAATATGAATTAAATTATAATAATCATAACAGACTGTAATCTATTAAAATTTCAAGGAGAATATTTGACAGCACGAAGGAGCAATGGAATGTTTGTGATGCAATTAGGCCTTGTTTCAATTTACATCAGTATCAATCTTAGGCACATTTGGATCTTAATTACGAAAAGTGAGTTACTGCAATTGAACGATCATAGTGGACACTGATCGATAGAGCTCCAGAAATTCGAGAACTATAATCAATAGGATAGAATGAAATCACTTATTTTATACGAGTATGTTTCGGTGAAATAACCTCGCTAGTGTTGTAATTAGTGAAATACTACTAGGTGTGTTAGAATCTAGTGACTCTAAACGATATCAAGTTATTTACTTAGGAATAAATTAATAGAAAGGACTATTATCATGAATTACAATCAATGAGAAAATTAACAGTTTAATGATAGATCGTATTATAAATTATATTAGTTGATTAGCATACTTTCTCCCTCCTCCCTTTTCAAGAATAAATTATGAAATCATTTCACGTAATCAGCATTGATCAGAACTGACGTTATGAAAATTGGAAATCTTGACCACCTACGCAGTCATTATTAAGTGTGAGCATTAATGGAGACACTTGGCGAATTTATGTACTCAAGTCACGTAATTTTTTCAGTCCTTTCTTTCAACGGTTGGCCAAGTCTTAATCCGTCTGCATTGTATACGTGCCACATAGAAAAGTGAATATTGCATGTGCTTAAACAATAAATTTTGCTATGATTGTTTGTCATATCGTATCCATAAACTAATAAAATCTACGCCTTACATGGCTATTAAACTATGTTTACCGTACTATCGTTGATTGCATTTGAACTAATCAAGCAAATTATAACAAGTAATTTGTAGTTGATTTCAATTACTCCGATCCCCACACTGATCGATAGACGAATAATCGCTGGAAATAAGAGAAATAAGTTCGGGCGTTGCTGATAGAATATAATCAAGTACTTTTATTGCACTTTTGGATATTATACTGTAATGTTAGTGGATCATTCCGTGCATGTAATAAGAGTACATTTCTGATACCGTCACTGTCTATTAATGAGTTAGAGTAGTTGCGAAGAAATAAATAATGAGATAGATAAATATTTCCATTCAAAAGTAATTCATATAGCAAACCATAAACACAAGGTAATAGTAATTGTACTACTGAACCAAAGAACTAAGTTAATGATATTTCAAATTGGCATGATTTGATAACAAGTTAATTCTACAACATGCAGAGCCAACAGTACTCACGTAAGTAGTAAGTTTAAACTAACAACGACTAATAATTTGTAATCTAACCGATAGAATTTAGTATAATAACGGAAATATAAATAAAAATTCACTAGACCACTACAATACAAACAGTGAGCAATAAATTACATACAAAGAGAAAGATTAAGGTTAACGTCATGTAACTTAAAGAGCAACACTTAAATTTCACTCACAGCCTTTATCAGTTTCGATTAAGACCATGAAAAGCATAACAATTTAATATACGAATAGGGTGAGAATAGGATCATTGTAATAGATTATTCTGAGGAAATTAAAAATGACCCAATAGATCTATTAATAACCAACATAATACAAATCAAATACTCTTCCATCGCTAGATCACAGTTGGTAAATTGCTTGATGCAGAGTCGATCTATACTGCAACGCCGATAATATCCCTCTCTGGTGTCGTACGAATTTTAGATATAAATGTAGCAAACGGATAATCGTACGTTACCTATGTAGGATCATTTCTACTAATGCAACCAAAGCTATTTCAATCACTGCATGAGATTTAGACGCCACCTCCACTTCTGCTTATTGGAACAGCAAAACCACTCTTCTGCCTCTGCATTTTTACAATCATTCCCAGACGACTTTCAGATACAAGGCCAGCCTCCAGAGCGCTCATTAACTAATGAAATGCAATTCAAGATAAAAAAATTAAGGCGACAATTACCCTTGAGATAGCTAAAGTACTTTAAGACGCAATATAGGTTACGAATGACGAATCAAGTGGGTTGTCCATGTCTGTTCATTAAATTTCATAAAGTTAGCTAGAATATATTACCTTTAAGAATTCGTCTAGTTCAATCATGCTGTTATTGTCGACATCTACTTCTGATATTAAATCTCGTACTTCACTTTCGCCGACGTCTTTACCTAATTTCTCTAACAGTTTACGCAAATCTCGCGGACTGATATGGCCATCACCATCACGATCAAAGTCCTTAAATACTCTTTTGTACGCTTCAACATCTACATTGTCCAGTGAAATATTTGATCCAATTAAATCACGCTTTAATCGGTAACCCATAGTTTTTAAGAAAGCATGAGCTTTTTCCTCTTCTTCCTGTTACCATAAATAAAATGAGTTAAGTATGTCAGCAACACACAATCTACTATTCAATCTTATACTCGTATACTATTAACCAGACATGTGATTTACGTTTCTCTAAAAGATTAATAAAACATACCTTTTGCTTTTTACGGCTCCAATTTAATTCTTTACTCATTAATTCAGAAATTCTCGGTAAAGCTGCATCGGTTGCTCGAGCATTTAGAAATGCCAAGCTAGTCCTTCTAGCAATAAAATCAACTATACTGCAGCAGTATTCGTCACGAATGGCATGCTTGATTTCAGCTTCGATGTAAGGAAATCCTTCTACTAAACGTATTCCTGTTATTGGATATCTTTTGCCAGTAAGATTAATGTGTTTAGCTACCTCAGGTGCCCGATCGCCGTACGTGTCAGCGAGATGACTTCCAACCTACGAATTAAATAGACCGGTAGTAAATTTGGTAAGTTCTTAATAGCTACACGCTATGCAACAGCGAATAAAGTACTATTGATGAATTGAAAGTTTCATTTTTAGCAAACCTCAGGATCTAAACCGTAATCTTGGACTAGACGAATTGATAGTGTCTTTGTGTAGTTCTCTCCACCTTCCAACATGATATTTTCAGTAATGCAATCATTTTTAGCGCTAAGACCACATACAGTTATGGCCTTGTCTACAGTATCTTTTGCCATTGCCCTATAGGTAGTCCATTTGCCTCCAGCAATACTAATTAAATTGCTATCGCTAACTTCAATAACGTGACTCCGCGAAAGTTCCGAGGTGTTCTTGGCTTGTGGGTTTTGGACAAGTGGACGAATTCCAGCCCATGCTGCCAGGACATCACCTCGTCTTACTGTATCACAAGTATTACGGAAAATATCATTTCTATTGCTAAGTGATATGTTAACTCTGCTATGCAGTACTATAACTGAAATTAAACTTTGCAATCTTTAATTACTGCTCTCGATAGTATGAAATACAACAGAAATAGTAAAATATACTCACCGTTAACATCAGGGCTTAGGTAAGTAGAGATTTCGTTGAGAATAAATTGAATGTCTTCTTCAACAGCAGCCGGATTGGATGTGACTTTACATTCTCTATCAGTTGTTCCAGCAATGGTAAAGCCTATCATAAAATTGATTGCAATAATGATAAATGTTTATACATCATATCTTAATTGACAGCAAAGGAAAAAACAAAAAATTTGTTTAGCATAATGTTTTACCTTCCCAAGGTAAGAAAAATATAACCCTTCCGTCACTAGTTTCAGGGTCTAAAAGTCCCATATCTTTAGGGCTATCAAATTAAATAAGACATTTCATTAACATTAAGAGAGTGAAATCATTCTATCAATCTTTATATTTACTTATAAATAATATACAACATTGTATAACTAAGGTTATAACTTGGACTTTTAAGGAAGATAGTCCATGAGTACAGTTTAACTAAAAATTGTACAAAATCAGTCTTTATGTTACAATTAATAAACTTAAACATTTTTTTGCACCTGTAGTAGCCAGGCAATACAACATGCACTCCTAAACTAGGCACAACAATCTTTTCTGTAGATGGATTATCCAACTGACGAATACCGTCAGTAAACGGTCCAGTTGCATTGATAACACATTTAGCCTGGACATCCCATTCATCACCAGTTAAATTGTCCTTAACTGTTGCTCCACAAACGACTCTATTAAATGAAATTAAAAGTGCACGAGTTTGTAACTAGAGATTTTTAGGAATTATTAATATAAGAAAATGAACTAACTCTTGATCGCCTTGCTTTTTCTTTAGTAATTTCTTAACTTCAACATGATTGGCAACTGTAGCGCCATAACGAGCTGCAGTTAATGCTATGCATGTATTCATTCTGGCATCGTTATGCTGGCCTTTTGATAAATTCAGCAAAGATAGTTTTATTTAAAAGGGAATACATAACTACGCGAGTTGGTTTAGAGTTTAAGTTGAAAGTATTCAAAGTTATATAATATAGTATAGTAACAGGCCTACTTTAATTTATACCTATATGAAACTGTAAGTTAAAATGTTAGAAAATTATATAACATACCATCATAGTATACAATGGCGCCTGCAAGATCTGAGGATTTTAACATAGGAAACTGCTTCAAAGCTTTCTGTTTGGAAAGAAAGTAGCTACTGGGCAAACGCTTTTTACCAGAAACAAAATCGTACATTTTCATTCCAGTCCAATAATACGGAATCAGATACCACCTAAAAATTAGACGCATACACTTAAGTAATCATAGACGAGTAGGTTAGAAATCGATTGATTTGCTATTTTTATCTCCTAGCAGCAGTAGCTATAGGAAACAATAGCATTAAGACCATACTTGAATACTGGTACGATAATCGGTAGCTCTCTTGTTAGATGTGGAGCCACATGAAGTAAATGCCATCTTTCGCTTAAAGCTTCACGAACGAGCTGGTACTAATATTGTGAGAAAATGATATATATTCAAGGTATTAAAATTTTTATAACTTTTATTGAATAGCAATTTAGGTGCTTTAAAAGGAATTTCGAATTTGTTAGGGTTTCTAGACGAGCGTGAGAAATTGAGAATGACTAGTTTTATGCAAGGTTCAGGCAAAATCAATTACTTGGCAGAACAGGCGTTGGTTAACATGATGTAAGGCAAGTATAGTATAAACTCACCTGTTCTAAATCCAGGTGCAGAATTGCACTTTTTAAGTATCGAACACCACCATGGATTAGTTTAGTACTTCTACTGCTAGTTCCAGAGGCAAAATCTTCTCTTTCCACAACAGCGGTTTTTAGTCCTACGATCAAGATAGGGGTAAGAGATGGTTAGTACTTTACAGTAGACTGGTATCTAAGATTCTTTCTAGGCCGAAAGTTTTGTAGTGAAGTATAACCATTGCTATCGTAGTTTATGACAATACCATGCACCTATATAAACTAACAAACAGACATTACGCTATGCGTTAGCTGTTATACCTCTACTAGCACTATCAAGGGCAATTCCAGCGCCAGTTGCTCCACAACCAACAACTAAAACATCGAATTGATCATCTTTCAGAGACTGCAGCTGTTCATTTCTAAAATACAAAATTGATAAAGAGTAAATAGATAGCTTGTAATTACAGCGATGTTATTTCCTGCCATAGAGCTGACAATAACTTTGTCATGTATGAGTCGAGAATTTTATGATGCATTATGAGCATTTTATCACCTGAGGGGTAGAACTTTTTTGGGAGTAGGAGTTGCAGCTAGAGTCTACCAGAGAAAGATAAAAGTAGTATTTTTATAATGATGGCATGTTCAATGCTAAATATCATCTACAGAATAGCTGTCCGATCACTTCAAATATGTAAAATTGTAAAAAATAGAAACTCCATTTGCAAGAGTTTTTTCAACTAAAGTCAGACTTTGAAGAGATAGCTCTATCAGAGTTGATTGATATTTCTAGCGTTGACATAATCCGAGCGTTAAAGAAAGGAATTTTACCCTATCATTACATTCTAACTGACTATAAACGTCCGTAGACAATGTCGTACGTATTTCTACTTGCCTTCATTCCTCTTGATTTCGAATAATATAAAGCTAGTCCTGTTGTAGTTGCTATTCCGGTGGCTGCCAATATACGAATCATCGTGGTAATCTATCCGTATAGAAATAAAATTAAATGCCTGTGATCAGAAATGAAAATGCTTGTATCAGCATTCATGATCTCTGACGCTTTACAAAATTATCTATGAGATACCGTATCATGCTATCATGACACAAGTTGCACAGATTCCAGTATTAAATTGATTTTCAAATTGATCTAACGTAGATCATGGATACTCGCTGTACACTAGTAGTGTATGCAATAAAAGGGAAACAAGATAACACTTTGTCTACTGATGGCCCTCAACCTAGAAAGAGATTGGACGATACAGCTCGATGTCCTGCATTCATTCGCCTCTACTGTACATACAATAACATTCATCAATCTAATCTAATTTATGTAACTGGCAACTTATTTTGATTTACATTATGCAAAGAACAATCCTGATATTGGTATTCTATCGTAGTTATCAACTAAGGCGATATGATAAATGATCACAGACCTTCAATTCCTGACCGATTTGTCATCAACTACCTGGATGTGTCTTTTAGGTTGTAAATAATGCAAAACTTGATCGTTCTCGGCATTTATATAAGCTAGCTACAATACGAACATTGTAAGACGCAATAAGTGACGACTGTAAGAAAATGGAAGGCATCATCGATGTCAACCTTCTAGGTTTATTACAGTGTTTAGGACCCTTGATGCAATTGAATACCAATTATAAATTATTTCCCCATGAATTGGATTAGTAATCCATACCAGGCATATTTTCCATGCTTGCTATGTGTCAATAAAGGACCGATACGGGCTAGTGAAATTACTGTACAGCTTGTGATAAGTAGGGAATGGTCCCAACTATTATTTTTATTGTAGCTCAACAACATGCTAATTAAAAAACATTGATGATTCCGTAAGGAAAAGTGATCAGATGGAGTCATGCAATAGAAGCTTTCACCATCCTTGCTACTTTACATAAATACAATTTTTCTATCGTGCCAATACGAGTGGATGATGACTTTGCATCGAGGGACGCTTTTCAAGTATAGAAACGTAAAAACAATAACCTTGTATGTATCTGGTTCACTGTTGCCAAAAATCAGGATTACATTGACTTATAAGGAAATAGCGATACAGTCAAGACTAGTGCTTTATAAGCTGTAGTACTGTCAATCCATGGTAAGTGCAGGGATAAGCCGATGATAGCGATTAGCGTCCAAGTGCTCGTTGATGCCATTCTCGGGAGTTTCTATACTCGTCAACACGCTTGTACGGTCAGTTCAGTGGAAAAAGTAATTACAGTATTGTATCTCTATCCATATTTATTCTCCTACGATACCAAGCCTACATAATCACTGAATGTATTTAAACTATGAATGGACAAAAATTCCATCGCTACCGGCATCAATCTTTAGCGATAGTCCTATGTGATAATGAAATTCGCTATTTTCGAAGTGCACTTGTAGGTCACGAGAAGGTGAATTCGTAGCCGTTATTAGCTAACATAAGTAGTTAGCATTAAGACTGACCAAATCAATCCGTAAAATCATGGACTATTTTTTAAGCATTACTATGTCGCATACTTGGCACAGGGAGAAAGTAAAAATGATAGTGGGGAATCAGAGATAGACGTCCATTTTCGAATCAAACTACTCCATCTATCTCAAGATGGAGTCATGTTGTATTGTGATCAAGTCAGCTGCGAATGTAATCTGATCGCGTGTAAAAATAATAGCACAGTATCGAGTAGAATGGTTGAAATCTAATCCAAGGGCTCGTCTATGATCACGCAAAAGTACTGTCTTTGATTGATGCTGTATTTCTTTCTTTTTTTTAACATTCAAGCGATAGATGTCGAGCAAAGCAATAGCAAGAAGATGTCAATAAACACGGGCATTCGAGCATCAATGGTGCTGTATGCTGTTTGAATCACTTGTCCGTGGGTATACGTTGATGATGCTATGACGTCGATTCATTTAGTTCAACGTGTCTGCAGACAACCATGAATCCTAAGGTAAATCATTGAAGCATGGCCGGTCTTGATGTTGACTTAGAATGGAGAAATACGGATAGGAAAAGGAAAGAGGCATTCAGACCTCAGCACGTTGTACTACAGTCTAGCAATGATGCGATCATCAGCCCTTCCCTTCTTTCCTATTCATCCATAAACATGTTTCCAAGATAACAACAGTATAAGGCTATTGGCTGGTAAATTGGATAAACAATATCGGCCAAGCTAGCACGCTTTGCAGAGGTTTACTAATCCATTTGTCAAGGTGCACCTTACCCCAGCAGTGGGTAGAAAGCTTACTGATGACTTTAGATCGTTGTCGACTTACTGTATTGTCAACTATTTCAACATGGACAAGAAAGGTTGCGTCCATGCAGGCCCATCAAGTCCCTTATCTCTTCTCTTGTCAAATCCATGATCGCGATTGGATTGATGATTCTATCATCATTTCAATCTTCTCTTTTCCTCATTGACAACTCATTCTAGGAGAAAGAATTGTTAAATTATTCATGAATCATTACCTAATGGGCGATTTCTTGTCGGTACGAAATGAAATTGGAACTAGTCAAGACGTTGTTAATGGCGGGCAAGACGATCTGCAACTCGACGAAAACACTTGACTCAATCAGTCAAGAAGAGCAATGCGATTGAATAGGAAGTCAATTGGGAACCAGTGCAACAATAAATATGTATAATTAATAGGTAGATTGCATTCCACCCTGTCAATCTTTCAATCAAAGCTTGTAATGATAATTTCTCCTCTTGAATCCGATGCAAGGACGAATGGAGGACAAGGAAGTCTTGGTCAAAGGCTTGTTGACGATGTGCCGACTAGGCTGTCCTGGCCTGCCTGACCGGTGTTGTCATCAACCGCTTGATGACGCAATGGGTAAGGTCGGCTTGACGGTGAACGTCAGCCTTGCCCATGGGTCAATCGACTAGGCCGGTGACGCCTGTTGGCGTTGTCAGTCAAATCGCTCGTGTGGCTTTCGTAACCTACAGTGTGTGGTGAAAGCGTGGCGGTGAGTGACGATCCACTGATGGTGGCGGGGTCACGCGCGCTATGACGTCATACACGTGGTCCATTCAGCAACAATAAACAGCCAATCCAATGACTGCCATCTTCTCCAGGCTTGCGTTGATTGGGTCCGGATCGGCCTGGGTACCAGTACCGTGGTTGCGATCTTCTCCTGGCTTGCGTTGTACAGTACTGTACTGTACTGTATTGGAGAACAACAATTGGGTCCAGATCGGACCGGGTACCAGTACCGTGGTTGCCATCTTCTCCTGGATTGCGTTGTACTGTACTGTACTGTATTGGAGAACAACAATTGGGTCCAGATCGGACCGGGTACCAGTACCGTGGTTGCCATCTTCTCCTGGCTTGCGTTGTACTGTACTGTACTGTATTGGAGAACAACAATTGGGTCCAGATCGGACCGGGTACCAGTACCGTGGTTGCCATCTTCTCCGGGCTTGCGTTGTACACTGGGGAACAACCATTGGGTCCGGCTCGGACCAGGTACCAGTACCTTGGTTGCCATGGGTGCTAGTTGCTATTCCTGTTGATAACGTCGTATTCTTGTTTTCGTCATGGATTGCAACAGCAACAAACTGTCGCGACTCTACAGTATTTCGGAGGCAGGAAATTGCACACTGCTTGATTACTTTGATGGACTCCGCTCTTGACTACAGTACCAACAACAATAGATTCGATGCCTTGTACAGTATACTGCCTTTGAGCAATAATCCAAATAGTGCCTACTGTACACACATAGCTCTATCGACAAGCTGCTGCAGTCAGGATAAATTCCTTGAATGCCACAATATTAATTGTTTTGCTAGCCCATGAAATGGAATAAATTCCTCTGACAATCTTGTAGGCTCTCCGGAATAAAAATGACAAATTGTTATTCATCATCAGCGGAATACTGCACAGTACTGTACAATGGTTATTTGTCTTACAAGTCCCTAGTTAGCGCACAGAAGCTGCTTTTTATTCACCTCCAAATTACCCCATTTCCTTGCAATCCTGTCGACGCCTAATCTCGATCTTACTGCCTGATGAAAGCATAAGAATGAAGGAATCCAAGTCTATTCTATGACGTGATCCAAATCAAGCTTCCAAAATAACTCGGGCTGTATGTAGCCTCAACATATTCTTACAACAGCTACAAAAATAGCCTAGAACTTCGGTAACGGTCCTAACTATCCTACTTTATACTGTACTCCGTGTACTGTATATTAAGAGAAAGGACTATTTGACCACTGCACGCTTATATTTATTAATAAATTATAATAATTATTATAGTAACTCATTCATAAACACGCCCCTGACTTTATAACAATCATAGAACAAGCTTCATAGCAGATTGAGCTATGACAATTAATTTCAACCGTCTCAGTGGTCCCATTCGACCAGTCTTGCATCTCTGATTTTACATACTTTGTACGCTTCAATTTATTATGCTGGCCTTCAGCATACGGAGGAAAAAATGTAAAACATGTCACAACAAGGGCTAATCATCACTTGGACAACATCGCGCACATTTGAAAATACTTATTTCCAATCTTACATTCGTCATGGACCACTAGATGCAGTACTTACGCAAAGTATAAAGTACCTAGTGATCCTTGCGATCTTCTAGTCTATGCGTAGTTCAATCCTCATCTCTTGCTGATATCCTAGGCTGCTGCAATGATCTGAACGGCCAGCAGACCCGATGAACGGTACACTTGAACAGCGTTTGCCGAGTCTGCACAAGAGTTCCTATCTCTCTAGCGTACTGTAATATGTGTATAAATTGCAGTACCTATCTTTTCTTTCTACGGTATTACTAAAAATCCTGGTGGTCCGTTTCTAGTAGTCATTGGCGTATACATCATCATACAGTCATAGACAACTTGAAGAGAACTCTTGTAGTGAATGACTTACTTTTACGACCATACCATCATCCTTCCAAACGGAGTATCCATCCCAAGCCCTTATGCATAATTTCTAGCGTCTATAATACTGTAAAGCGTACAGTAATGGCACGCCTTTAGTGATAGCGCTCTACAGTATATATTCTACTTTACAAAGCTCATTTGTCAAGTTCTAGCAACTTACACTAGTTACAAGCTAGCACCGTCTGATGTCAAGTATAATATTTCTACGTCGGTATAGCTCTCAAGCAGCTGCATTACCAATTAATTGCTACCGTATCCCTTCCGATACTACGTACTGCATCTCGTTGTTTACTGAGTGAAATAATGAATCTTGCGAAATCGCTACAATAAATAAATTATACATAATGGCTTTTTCTTACTATTATACTGTAGCTTTCACAGCTCTGTTACAAAAAGAGAAAGGACTTGAACCTTTCAAAACGTCTACTAAACAGACGATACATAAACTGACTAGCATTTACCAATCAATAAACCAAATGTAATCTGTTTTAAACGGAGTATTTATTGACTTGCAAAGGCCTAGCCAAACGGCAAGCTTATTAATGCTAACTGTAAAGAGGCAGTGCCTTCAAATATGCGGAATATCTGTACTGAGGCTTCTTGTTGACAAGACTTAACCAGCATACGTATAGTAAACAAGATGAATCTATCGGCATCACAGGTTAATAATAAAATAAAATACGATATGGATAAAGCAAGCAAGTTGACAACGTCAGTCTTTCTCTGACATTGTTAAATGCTAAACGAAACAAATGCTCTTTTCTTAATAGGTAGAGCTAATCTCGCTTATCATGATGCTGGCTAATAGCTTGTAGCAATGATAACATCGGATTTCCGAGTTTGATATCCTTAGAAACAGGCGTTCTAAAAATTTCTTTTATAAACATTTCAATCTTGAATATAATTTATCCTTAATTATATCATATTATACAAGATTACGCACTCTACTAACTAATTGTACGAGTAAAATGTAACAGATACATAGTAAATTAAGCCTCTAGTTAGCTAAGGCAGCAAATAAAATTTTATACATCAAGTTTCTTAATAGAAGAACATTTCAGCCATTAGCTTGATATTTATACATAGAAACAGGCAAATCTAGTCAGCTGACTACTATTAGTGCTAAAACAACTTAGCGCTACGTTAATTGCTTAGAGTAGTTATAGAACAAATAATATCACTCAGTTTGTGAATCTTCTCCTTCTGAGGAAACCGTAATGCCAAATGATTTTGTAATCATATCTGTCATTTGCAGAACTAAATGCTTATTGGCTCCACCGCGAATACTATGATCTTTGTTGGTATACGCCTACGAACCGAAAATACGGATAAAGCATATAAATGATGTAAGACTGTACAGTACCAAACATCGTCAAACAATTTGCTATTCCTGTTTGGCTAATTCTATAATGTCAACATTTTATTCCATGAAATTTATACTTTTCATTAAAAATAATTTAGTTTCAGAGAAAAATCTTAAATCATGAACTGAAGGTACTTCAACAAACCTGCATTCTAAAGGGAATAACTTCATTTTGTAATGCTTCTACCAAAATTGCCGTATTAGAGTAATGGACATTGTCATCACTTGTGCCATGAGCAATAAAAAATGAAACAGTTTTATTCTTGAATCCTTGCAGATTATTGACGATTGCAGATTGCTACCGTTATTACAGACAGGAATATGAGGAAAGAAAAATAATAAAAAATGATTTAGTTAGGCAATCGTTACAAGGAAATATTACATCAAGACTGACGAAAGCTAGAAACACTAAATTTACATTGTAGCCAGCGGCATTGTCGGATGGTGTTGCCAGGAAGCGCTCAGAATATATAGCATCTACACTCGAATTAATAATTAACATCATTATAGGACATAGTTAACAATACTTTTTTTACTAGTTGAATTCAAGGTTAATTTACCGTAGAATCCCCAATTTGCAACCGGTGCAACAGAGAACCCAATTTTGAATAAGCCCTGATTCCTACCGGTAACCATAGCCGTCATGTAACCACCGTAGGACTAATAAATTAATATTAAAAAATATAAGACCAAATATTCCATCTATTAATGTCAGCTGGACTCATAACGCTAAATATTTTACAGAACTAAAATCGTTAAATGCTACAATCGATAGTTACAGCCGTGATATTAACTGATTCTTGTAGCATAATCTAGTTAAATCGACTCGGACAGTAAATCAACTGTTGCATTCTAGCGATAATAGCCTCAAAACATATGCTCAAAATAACTCACCCAGCCAAACATGCAAATCTTATCTGGATCGACGTAGCTTTGTTGACGTAGGTATCTGACCAAGGGAGTAATATGATTACTGGATAATGACACTTTATATTATATGTTCGATATTTCAATCAAATTTTTAAACGTCACTAGTACCTAAATACATTGAGGAAGTCGTCTGACTCTAAAAGTCCAATTTTTCTATATGTTAAGAACTTAAACCTACAAACCAGAGTAAGCACCAAGTGAAAGATGAGGACAAGCTGTAACTTCTTTTATATATACATATAGTTCAGAATATTAATATTAAGATGAACAGTTACATCAACTGCAATATAAAATGTTACAAATTACTTAATTGAACAGTTACAAGTGCAGAACATTGATTAATTAGTGTCCTTTCATTTTAATAGAGAGCAATGTATCTGACTAAATTTATAAAATTGTATCAAAGTTTCATAGCGTACCTGTTGCCTCGGTAACCCGTTCCACGTGGATCAACTCTGATCACTACCATTTGAAGGGTTGTTGAAAAGTATTGCGGAAATCCGAGTGACCATGAAGTTTTAACCTGCGATATTTGTGCGGAAACGTAAGACTGTTGCTCTAATCTATCACAATAAATTAAATATCTTCATTCAACAGTAAATATCTACTCTTACAGTTTGAGAACCAGGCCCTCCATACCTAATGTGATAACATGAATAATGATAAAAAGAAGTCAACATTTAGTTCATAAGCTGGTTGTACATTTTGCAAAAATATCTTTATTTGATTTTCAATACTTACACATATAGCATAACTGGATATCTTTTATTAGCGTCAAAGAGTGGAGGCCGGTATTCAATAGCATTTAATTCTATTCATAAAATTATTCGTGTCATAAGCTCCATTACAGTGTTAAAAAATGCACGCTTACATAATCATAATCTGTCAAATCATCAAAATTTGCCTGGACTTACTGTAACCATTGCTATTAATTTGGTAAATATGACGTTCAGCTAATTCATGCTCAGATAATTTAGTAGCTAGTTCAGTGTTGTTTTCTAGCAAGGTCTCTAAAATAACCCATTTACAATATTGTCTTACAGCAAAAGTCGATACCAAGAATGCTATATATCAAAGATGCACTATTTATATTGATTTAGGTAACTGCATAAATACTTACTGTCACTTGTCGCTGTAGTAACTACGTAATAAGATGGGATATTCGGGCCTGCAGTTGTTATACAAGAATAAAACGTTAAAATAATCTAGAATTGAAAATATTGTGTAGATATTTCAATCGTACCTAAGCACCGTAAGAAATAAAAGGATGCCTGAGAACTAAAGGTAGCCGAAAAATAGGAGTAGGTACCTAGAGAAGAAATGTTCAAATTATTACAACTGTAATAATACTAAGCGTATAGTAAATAATTTGATATTAAAAAATGATAGCGAAAAGAAATTCTCAAATATATACCACTTTGGAACATGTTACAGGTCAGACAAGTTACTGTTGGACTTGCACTTGTCGTGGCGCTATAAAGTAAAAATAATAATTCTTGAAGCAACCTACTACAGTAAGCATCGAACTAGATTTATAACAAAAAATTACGACAAGGTCAACTTACCTATAAATATGTCTGGTTGTTGACGATTGCTTAGTACTTTGAAAATAACTACCCAGAATAAGGAAATTGTTACTTCTCCACAATTATACAACTTTCATTAAGCCATGATACACTTTAAAAGCTTTTACAGGGCACAATCAAAGTTAGCAACATTTATGATAATAATATTTACATCATGTCATTCGTAAGTGTCAATCCATACAAGCTAGTGACTTCCCACTCTCCATCAGTCAAGAACTGTCTAAAATTCGTCTATAAGAGCATAAAGCGGTTGAGTAATTAAACATATTTTCGACTTTAAGCAGCGATTATTAGCACTTGCTATATTTATAACATCAGTTGCCTTACCGATATAACAATTTTAGCAATGTGATTAAAGGTTCCTTTATCTGCAACAGCTTTCGGTAAAATCGTGTATAAAGTACTACCATCAGAACTAGACAATGGTCGATACTATTTCGTGAAAGAAAGAGTTTGAGAAATACAAATTAAGAAAAATAAATTAAATATCTCATAGATCTGCTACAATGATTTTCGTACATAGTGAAAGTCAACATATCCACCAGAAGTTGTCGATGAGGCTGCAGAAATCTATGGGATATAAACAAATGCAAGACAAGTAAAAAAACGTTATCAACGTTGGGTCATATCTAACGTTATAAATTAAATTAAGTCGTGATTATACCTCTGTACAGTCTCCTGTTTGAGGATTGCACGTTGTAACTGAACTGATATTTTGTAATCTATTCAACCAGTATACAATAATGGTATTGCTGTTTGGCCAGACAACATTGGTATAGTAGTAGTTCCTACAAGAAAATGGAAAGTATTTTACATTGTAATAATGACAACTCTATATTGGAATAAAATGTAGATAACAACTAATCTTCATTGCAACTATTTACCCATCTCCGGTAATGCGTGCCGGTGGTTGTAGAGTGACTATTCTGGAAATATTATTATTACTAATAGCCGCGACATTTAGCGTAAATTTAGGCAGCGTTGTTCCAGGCTATTTATTAAAATAAGAAAAGGTTTTATTATCTACCCATAATGACCCACGAATCTTCGAAAGCGGTAAAATATTAAAGTATTAGTTTAGAATTATAAATGTAAAGGCATTGACACCTTTGGATATGGTATACTGTGAAGTTTCGCAACATAACCATTTCTATCAGGTTCATACGTAAACCATTTGGCATGAATGATATGGCTATCATTAAAGGAAGCGTAGCACAAATACGTTGCATCTGGTGACCAGTATTTCGCATTCCCTGTATTTAATATTTCCTCTACAATAGATCAGCATCCAATCAAAATTGTTTTATTCGCTATAACGTCTATAAACGACCGCCATCACCAAAGACTAATTGTACAACTGCGATTCATAAATGGCGTCGATCACTAATTCATACTAAAAGTCAAATTAGAGCTACTTCCACCTAATAGATGAAGTAGAATAGATCCACTTCATGTAATCATATGCCTAGACTTACCTTCGTAAGCCCAGTCAGCAGCACCATTGTAGATTTGATCAATTTTGCCATTCATAGTTACACGAAGACCACTCGCTGTAGGTGAATTCTTGATGTACAAGTCATTATTGTAAACATAAGCCTACAATAGCAGCAATTAATGTAAAAAAGTAATTAGCTAAAACATGATGTGAAGCTACTTGCGTAAGTAATGTTTTTTTGAATTACAAAAAATGGTCTGTAATAATATTACCAATTTGTTGCCAGTAGGAGACCAGCTCATTTCACGTAAACGAACCCCTTGACCAGCTTCGTCTAAAAGGGTGGTGATTCTAAATTATTAAGTAAATAAATTGAAACCTTAAATATTTTTTTATTAGTGCACATAAAATCTAAAGTCAATTCCTTTAGATACCTTGTAGTAACATCATATAGCGCATATCTCGCGAAATATGAGTGTCGGTAGATCTATCGAAATAATAACTCGTAAGTTAGGAATAGATAATAAGCAATAAATTTATCATTACAGACACACAGTTTTACTGGATAATATGGACAGAACGTATAATCAATCTACAGCATATACCAGCATCATTAAATTTTCGATACTAGTTTGAGCGCTACGTACTCAGCAACGAGTAAAGCCTTGTATTTAGTATAAACTTAACAGCATTATCGCATAGAACCGAAGTTGAAAGAGTTGGAATTATTTCGAATAGATTTTCAGGTGTGACATGTATGCAGCTATTCCATTTAAACGATACTCTTATTTAATTAAAAATTAAAATTTATTATATACTATCGCATAGTGTACCTTTTTATGATCATATGCTGCCAAGACATAACGTTGGTCACTGCTCCACCAATAAGCATAGGCAGAATAGTTTGACTACCATAAAGAATTCGAAATTAATTGCCAGAGTTAATCCATTGTGATTACTTAATTACGGTTTACACACTTAGAATAATATCATATATTTATTAATAATATAAGTACACCGGTACGATAGAACAAGGTGTGTATGGTATGTTCTATAATTCAATTTTCTAAATTACAGCACAATGCGCATATTTAATATAGCTATTTAGGACTGTAATGGCATATTATGTAGCAATGTAATGCAATCGCAACATTTTCAAAAACCATCGGTGAAACAATTTAATCTTACCAGAAATTGGCCGACGTGATTAATTACATGGCCTTTTGCTGAAGTTAAATCCATCTTCATCAGTTTACCTTCTTCGGTTTTGTATTCATATTCAGTATCTGTAGAAATGTAAATCGCTTCCATAACTATCTCATTTAGGGATTAAAAGAATCGATCCAATAAAGGAATAATGTACTGCATACAAATATAGTTTAAATATGAGAACAACCTTGCGCTGTAGTATATTCTGACTTAGCATGAAAGATTTATCGCTACAACTGATTCGAACTCAAACCGGAAGCTAAGCATCAAGATTATTAATTTTATTTTAAGCCATGCTTTGATATACCCGTGCACTGTAGTAAGCTTTAAGTACAAGAGTATGATAATGCGTTCGCACCACGCATAATCATGTCAGCCGAACTAATATTTGCATATTCGTCTATTAGTTCATAACCTTATTGCCATGTCCGACAAGAGAAATACCAATTTAATAAACGATATAATAACGTCGACTGATGAGCAGTTACAATACTGTATAGTTTAGAAAAACAAAGATAAATCTGGGACAGCTAGTGAGTATCTGATCGAACCACTGGTTTTACCTGAGAGCCACTTAAAATGTGGTTTCTTAGCCCTATATTCAGTACTATAAAGGGCTTCTACATTAAAGGGAGGCTTCGGTTTTTCTGTATCTCCTAAGGAATAATTGAAGCATTAAGGAATTAATAACGTTTGTAATTGGTATATTGTGTATAGTTACGAATCACGATTACCACCTTTCTTCCTTATATCATGATATTGATAAAACCGATAATTAAACGAGACTATGATAAAAATTAATTTATTGATGACATTTACTACAGTGGCGATTATCTTAAGTGTCAGTTCACTGAGATTGAAATGTACGTACGAATTCAGGTTCCGTATATACAAATGATGCAACAAAACCGCTTTACCGCCAACTACAAGTAAACACTATATTAAATTTCAGTTCAAATACTGTATTTGACGACGAGTTATGATAATGAATAATTAATCAATAGCAACGTACCATTTCGTATGATGGCAGCAATACAAGCTAACGACAAATTAGATTAATGATTAATTTATTATACTGTTGCCTATCTTATCGAAAATGAGCTAAATTAGTTTATCACTAAGCCATGGTATGCCGTAAGTAAGCAATTCATGGATATACCGTCAATTGTTACAACTAAGAAAATAAGCATTGACTCCGCTTTTACGATCACCAGTAGCTTCCTTTATCGGAAAAGAAAAATTCCACTAGGTGAATACTGTACAAGTCAATAAAGTGAGAATTAACAGCTGTAATCGCGAGATTCGAGAATACTATCGTTACATGATACAGTCGTTTAGGCAGTTGTAGTCATAGAGTTATCCATCTCGGATAATGATACATTTAATAATAGTAGACGGTAATCGTCCAAATTGATTGGTCTTGTTGATGATAATAGCACTACAGTACTACTAAGATTGCATAGGTAGAATAGGCAGGTTTTTCCGATATTCGATACAAGAAGTCAAAAAGGGCAATAAAACTTGTCGATACTTACTGGCAATGACGACAACGACAGCAATGACCGCAGCTACAATTAAAACAAATATCACGGCGATAATGGTTGCTCGCGTCCTCTTGGCTTTATCCAAGCCGGAATATTCGACCGGTTCTTCCGCCTTGATTTGACCATATTATATAGTGGCGATTGTTTCCAAAACGGTGTATAAAAACAACAAAGAATGAAATCACATCACCGTTAATCAATAGTCCATATGATTTTTCAAGTCAAAATTGAACTACTGTATGGAAGATTTTACAAAAGGGATTGTCTTGATGGAAAGACATTCAAATCAATTTCGAAAATATCTATTGGAGAGATCATAAGAGAAGTGAGAGACTACGGCGCTGTCCATCCTCATTAGTCATTACAATACGGACTTGGATGGTTGATTTCCATTTACTTCAAGAATGGGTTTAGAAAAATAGACCAGATGAAAAGTTCTGGGTACGTAGACAAAAATTGGCACAACATGGAGAACCTTGATGGACATAATTGTATTTTCTTTTTTTATTTCCATGGCCTGATCACTAAGGATCTTTTGGATCCGCATTAAGAATGAACCATGAAATCAATGTACAGGATACTAAGGTTATCCATGGTGTTCGAATGATGGATCATTCTTGAAAGAGTGGGAGAAGACGGTTTGGATCCGTCAACGACTTCAATTTAACGATACAATGTTATGTGTCAATTACATTAGCGGGTATCCATGTCGTGATTTTATCCAAACATATCATACGGTATTGTAAGACTGTTAATTAGTTGATCTAGTAAGTCAATAACAGTGATGATGGACATTGAAAAGGAACGCTGATGTATTCTCTGGGACGATTAATCCATTTCTCTCTCGTCACTTTGGGTGTATAAAGGAGTTTTGTTGTAGTTACAACGTTATCCCTATCGAGGTCGACCGTGATGTTGGAAAGAATAGTATAGTAGAGGATAAAGTAAGCCTAGTCATTGAGAAAAAATGGAAAAAAGAAGCCAGTGATGGAAAACTGCCTTGACGCCATTTTACGTCGTCCTCGAATTCAATGAAAAAAGAAATAGGAAAGATGGGGGTGGTCTATCGGAAAATCATGGAAGATAAGTCACCATCTCATTTATCCTACTGAACCCACTGTAACTTGAAAAAATGACTACTAAAAGTAAAGGAATGGACATGATTGGAAACTGAATTTTTGCCTTGATATAAATTCCCATATGGTAGAAGTTTCCCCCCCCCCCGGTCACTGAAAATATAATAGTGAACATACAGTAGTAACATGATTTATTCTATTGCAGTCAAAGAAAAACATGTTGACTCTTCTTTTAAACGCCTTCGCTTTTCTTGCTAAACTGATTGCATGGCTTTATTTTCCTGTTCCAATGCTACCCTAGTCTATTTTCTATTGATGGCTACTAAGGGGGAAAAAGAAATGTTCAAAGATCATCATCATCATTAACTTACCATGTTGAAGGAGCAAGGACTGCCAGTGAAGAAGAAGATTGGAACGGCAACAGGAAAATGACACTGGATGTGGCTGACTTGTCGTTCTGGCTGACGTATTGATGGACCGGACTGGTACAGTATGACTCGTCTGTGACTGACGTTACCCAGTACTAGTACAGTACAGTGGACAGTACACTACTACTACTAGTGGACACGGTAGAGTATGTACTGTAGGTAGTCAAAGCAAGAAGGTTGGACTGCCAACAGCTTTCGTTGACAAAAATGATTATTATTTATTATTATTATTATTATTATAATAATAATCAAGGCGGCGGCTGACTCTTTAGCTGCTTCTTTCCACTCTACTGTATACCGTATGTAGAATTCTACACGGCGCTTAGACCTGAGAAAGGTTGATCAAGTTGGTTGAGGGATTACTGTACTCGAGTCGTCCCTGGCTGGTTGCAGATCTCGATACTGTACTGTACAGTAGAGAAAAACGCTGCAAACTACAGTATCTCTTGCCTACGCGTACTGTACTGCACAGTACAGTACTGTACTGTACTGTACACTCTCAAGTTACAGTACTGTGCACTCTGAGTATACACTGTATGTCTTTCGGACTCTTTCCGCTCCGTCTGTATAGTACTGTAATGGAAGGTGTACAGTATGCGAAATGGACTCAGGGCTACGCGACAGTCTTGGAAATCCTTCGCCTGCAATTTATTTACTGTACCTATTTCCCTATTATAATTATCCTCCACTATCCATCCACAAAGCGATAATCCATCATGTCACTACGGCTAGTGGACAAATGCTCATTTTGCAAACACTGGCTGTCATTACTGTACAATTGCACTCAAAGTGAACAGTAGGACTACTGTACAGTGTACACGCTGAAATAGCGCTCATTGTTGGAGCTGGCGATGAATACAATCAACATGGGCACATTTCCCCTATTAATTATCCTCCACTATCCATCCACAAAGCGATAATCCATCATGCAACTACGCCGAGTGGACAAATGCTCATTTTGCAAACACTGGCTGTCATTACTGTACAATCGCACTCAAAGTGAACAGTAGGACTACTGTACACGCTGAAATAGCGCTTATTGCTGGAGCTGGCGATGAATACAATCAACATGGGCACATTCCACCAGAGTTCACAACACTGCTAGAGCTACTTAACTACTCCATCAAGTTATTTCAAAGTGCAACAATTGCTACTTACGCAGCCTGACCGTGAAAACACAGATTGCTGCTTTGATTGGCGACGAAAGCGCCTGCTTGTCAATGCTACCTACAGTATTGCTCGCTGCAGTACATGCATTGATTAACGTATTGTACGCCCATCGATGTTATTCACGCCGTAGTGATTTTGTAAAATGACGGATTTTTGAATAAACGCGGTAACAGTATTACTGGCATACATGCAATTCAATACTCCAAACCGGTCGGACCTTCGTGCTAGTCACATCTTTTATTATCGTTTACAGTATATGCGACACCAATACCAAATTGTCAATTCCATATTGCAAATTCAATTTTCTTCAACAGCGTTGATAATAATGATTCATTCTACTCAATCGAATGAGACAGTATTCAAAAATTGCATAAGTTCATAGTATTGACGCTGCTGTAGACGATAAGGAATCAACCAAAGCTATCATATTGTTAACGCAAGGCTTCAGTTCTAAATCAGACTCTACCTGATCTATTTTCGAATGCAAGTGGTTTACTCAGGTAAACCGTTGCAAACCGTTATCTCTACAATGTCTAGAAGTGAAAACTATCCAATTCGAAATTACAATTTGTCAACACAATACGGTAGCGAGCTAAATTTTGATCGATACGCTCAAATGCAGTGTGACAATGATCCACATCCATAGGATAGATCTCTAATTGCGGCGAGATGTTATGCATGCCTGCAAAATTTAGCATCTTCTGCATCATTATTGGTGAACCAACAAGAGAACCAACAATGCTTCTTTCCGATCCGATTAATAATCCACCGTTCACTTGAAGGGGCTTACTTGCAATACCAATAACAACGAATTTACCTCGTGGTGCTAATAAATTAATATAACTTTCGTAATCGAGGTTTGCACTAACGGTGTTGATGATCATGTCTAAAGGCTTTAATGACTTCAGCTGATCTGCGTCTTTCGTGACAACGAACTCGTCAGCGCCGAATGCACGAGCTTCCTTTTCCTTGTTAGAACTAGTTGATAAAGCGACAACTCGACAACCCCAAGCTTTTGCAAATTTAATACCGAGATGGCCAAGACCACCGACACCTAGAATGCCAACGCGGCTTCCAGGTTGAACATTATGATTAGCAAGAGGAGCATATACTGTAATTCCGGCACAAAGTAAAGGAGCTGCATCGGCAGATGACATTGTTTCGGGTATATCGTAAAGGAAACGAGAATCCCAAACGACATATTCAGCAAATCCACCGATTGGAGCATTTATAAAATTAGTCTTCTCTGGGCAAATGTGTTGTTTACCATCATTGCAAACGTTGCAATTTTGGCAAGAACCTAATTGCCAACCTCCACCAACACGTTGGCCTACCTTGAGTTTTACCACATTACTTCCAACTGCAACAATTTTACCAATAAATTCATGACCAGGAGCTTTTCCTGCAGGGCAGAAAAAGTCAGTATGGCAAACACTACAGCATTCTATATTCACCAAGACATCGTGAGATTGTAATTGTGGAACATCAATTTGTGCCTTGCGAAAAGTTTGCTTTGATACGTCATCAACAACGTAAGCTTCGATTTGTTCGGGAATCATATTGAACCACTACAGAAAAAAAAGAGTTCGATCGACCGTTTAATTAATTACTGCTAAAAATGGATTCTTTGCATATGAACCTATTTGCTTAGTCATGATAACACTGCATATCAGTAGTTCAAAACTAAGAGTGACCTTTTCTACGAGCATCTGACCTTTTCCCATGCAAATAAACTTCAATGAGTAATGAATTATAATTATTCATGAGAACATGAAATCATATACAACCGTACAGCACTTACTAAGTACACAGTTTAAGAATCTCAAGCAAGTTGTAAGGTATAGATCATCCTAGAATGCCGCAGTAGGAAGGTATTTTAATCTTACATTTCTCAATCATAAATTAATTCAAATTTCGAAAGGGAAGTATGATAGAAGTAAGTAATTTTATTATAATGCCTCCGTCAAATAAGAATTTAAAAGTAATTTAGAGTGTCCACATTTCATTATACTGTATGCATGAATATCACAGGAAAAAAAAATGTACATGTTACCGTTACGAACAGCAAAGATTAGGTTAAATACTTGAATTGCTTCAATTTTACAATTCCATGCCCAAGCTATAAGGGCAACTGTTAGTCACGATTGGATTGATTCTTTAATTTGTGCCATTAATGCCCTATCAAGCGAGTGGGTGGTTCGCCTTAGATAAGCCTTTTTTTTTAGTGTACTGTACTGTACACTAGGCCACGTTAGTGTACTCTTATAAATACGCCTATAATAGTAAATCTAAGAATATTCATTGCTCTATCTAATTAATTGAAGCAATATTCGTTCATTGAGAGTCTCGCCATCACTTTACTTTTACGATACTTCTACTATGCAATAGAATATAGGATCATTACTACATGAGATATCAAGGGACTGTTATTAACTCAATTAGTCAAGAAATTTCCCTTATCATTTCCACTCAGCAGATAAAGTATTCGTTATTATTATTTTACTGGTACCAGTCAAATTGCAGTAAAGGGCTAAAATTACAGTAAAATGATCATAAATAAACAAATACGCCTTGTTCTATCTGGAATGCATAATTTATAGATTGGATGAAGGAAAAGTAACAATGCGATCAGCTGTACACTGTCCAATACTACTGTAAATTAGAAGAGTGATGGATTATGATAGGCATATACCTGCGGATAGATTAGATAATAAAAGTACTATATAAACAAACACAGTCGGCACTAATCTGCAAGAAAAACAAGCCAAATTAGAACCATGACAGTGTTCCAATGTGCATGCTTGTCCAAGATAGATATCGTCACAGATAAAGCCGTCTACTAGTGTAGAGGAGAGCCGACAAAAATGCAAGCCGTAGAGAATTCCATTGCAATCTTAAATAGATCATTTCCTTTTTTATTAATTTCCACAATTGCTGCCAATTACTAATGTAACAACTGTTTTATTGATCTTAAGTACTGAATATCACAAATTGTTCTCTTATCACAGCTTGAGAGGAAACATTTAACAGAGAAGTAGCACAATATCATAAATCCTATCATGTTATGCTCGATATCTCTATAATGGTAATCTGCAATCTGAGCATTGCATAGTGTGAACAAGTATCTCTATTGTAGCCTGACTGTAAAGTCGAATGATTGTAAGCAGGCTTTTTTTTTCATGAGATTACCTACTTGTATATAGAATATAAATAATTTTAGAAATTTAAGAAGAATAAAAAGGTAAATTGCAAACATTTAAACTTAACTTGATAAATTTATCAAGACGGGTTATTTATTGGTGATCATACTGCTTAGTCTTTATCTGAGCTGATCAATTACGAACCAATTGGCAGCTGCAAAACGTCTAAAGTAGCGCAGTTAACTAGAGATTACAGTAGTCTATGAATACCAGTTATTGATTGAAGATCAAATTGACTAGTCAATAGCTATCCGAAGGGACAATAAAGCAATCTTTCTAGGTTTCCTGTAGCGATGTTGCCTTGAATTATATTTGAATACTGACGATATGCATAGTACCGTACTTCTCTTGACATATGTACTATAATTACTGCTACCCCCAGCGAAGAATGCTAAAGATATTTAGTGGATGTTGAACAGATTTATTAAGATATCGAGAATGAAAAGCAGACAGCAAATTACAGCATTAGAGTATCTGCTAATCCAGAGCGTACACAATAGTATGAATGAACAGAACATCAACTTTAAATTCATTATTAATTATTAATTTAATTAAGTTGGGCAAATTTGACTATCGAGGTTATTAATTTTCTCTTATAGTTATACAGCATATGAGCGCTCGTATACAGATCAGATCCAAATTTAAATTCTTTCAGGTAACAAACACAGGATATCTAGTTAAGATCGTATTGACTACAGTTAATCAGCAAGAATTAATTGAAACTTTTTACCTGTTAATGTCATTCATGTACCTCTACGAAATTAATCCGATTTGAAATTAGAATTCGTCAACACAATACGGTAGCGAGCTAAATTTTGATCGATACGTTCGAATGCAGTGTGACAATGATCCACATCCATAGGATAGATCTCTAATTGCGGCGAGATGTTATGCATGCCTGCAAAATTTAGCATCTTCTGCATCATTATTGGTGAACCAACAAGAGAACCAACAATGCTTCTTTCCGATCCGATTAATAATCCACCGTTCACTTGAAGGGGCTTACTTGCAATACCAATAACAACGAATTTACCTCGAGGTGCTAACAAATTAATATAACTTTCGTAATCGATGGTTTGCACTAACGGTGTTGATGATCATGTCTAAAGGCTTTAATGACTTCAGCTGATCTGCGTCTTTCGTGACAACGAACTCGTCAGCGCCGAATGCACGAGCTTCCTTTTCCTTGTTAGAACTAGTTGATAAAGCGACAACTCGACAACCCCAAGCTTTTGCAAATTTAATACCGAGATGGCCAAGACCACCGACACCTAGAATGCCAACGCGGCTTCCAGGTTGAACATTATGATTAGCAAGAGGAGCATATACTGTAATTCCGGCACAAAGTAAAGGAGCTGCATCGGCAGATGACATTGTTTCGGGTATATCGTAAAGGAAACGAGAATCCCAAACGACGTAGTCAGCAAATCCACCGATTGGAGCATTTATAAAATTAGTCTTCTCAGGGCAAATATGTTGTTTACCATCATTGCAAACATCGCAATTTTGGCAAGAACCTAATTGCCAACCTCCACCAACACGTTGGCCTACCTTGAGTTTTTCCACACTACTTCCGACTGCAACAATTTTACCAATAAATTCATGACCAGGAGCTTTTCCTGCAGGGCAGAAAGAATCTGTGTAACAAACACTACAGCATTCTATATTCATCAAGACATCAAGAGGCTGTAATTGTGGAACATCAATTTGTGCCTTGCGAAAAGTTTGCTTTGACGCATCATCAACAACGTAAGCCTCGATTTGTTTGGGAATCATTCTGCAGTATGTTAGAAATGATCAAGTTCGATCGATCGCTAATTAACCCTTCTATCTCTCTTACTTATTACTGGGCTACTATTAAAAAAATACGCTAGTGCTACTTTATATACTGAATTTATCAACAGCATATGACTACGGTGAACTTTCAGCGCGTATGTCACATTTTTGCAGACAAAAAATATCACTGGGTTAGTAATAAAAATAATTGCCCTGTGCATTACACCAATTCAGTTTAGTCATAGACTAGTGCAAAACTTAACCACTGTGCAATGTGTGGACATGCTTACAGAGACGGACGAAGACGGACCAGATCATAGGCATAGAGGGCAAAATATTGTAATAGAAGGTTTTTGTAACCCAGAACCTAAACTCAATTGAAATTTATTTCAAGAAATTAAGTTGTCGAGTAGCAGTAAAGGACTAAAGTGATTTTAAAATGACACTAAATAACCAAATCTTTTTCCATTTACAGTAAATACGTACCGTACACAATACGGGCATTGGATGAAAGAATATTTGTAATATAATCCGAGCTGATATACTACTGTAATATGATTAGACAAGTAATGAATTAAGATAGGTACATAGGATAGCTGCCTATCAATTAGACAACGACACAACTACTGTATGCTCATAAACAAGACAATCAACACTAACTTATGCACAGACACAGGCCAAATAAGATCCTTAGCAGTTTCGTAATATGCATGCACGATCTATGATAGATGTCATTGCAGATTATATCATCTGATCCATATTTTCCTTTTACCTCTCACTAGGCTTAGGAGTTTTAAGAAACCTCCTTAACATCACTGTTAATTGATATCGTTACCTAAGTGAACTGCGAAAATGATATAATTAATTGAAAAATAGAAGGAGTAAATGACCAATAGCGTTCGAAAATTATAAGCGATTAATCCAGTTTTGATAGTGCAATTATTGGTTGATGTAATTAACAAACAATTCTACGAGTAGTTAATACTGACTAGAAAATAAATCTATGCATTTTGCAATATCGTGCTCATCTTTAGTTGTAGTTTCAGTAAAGATGATGTAAAATTCTATACATATACAATAAATATCACCTCACAAACAACATTACATTTTAATCAAATGATTATATCGAAGCCGTTCATCATATTGAAACCTAACCTTACAAATTACTCATAAGTAATTATAATTTTAAAGTTTCAATAATATGTAAAATTAGTATAGTTAAATAGGCTTGATTATGAATACTAGGCCATTTATTAGGGGTTAAAACTAAAAAGTACCATCCGTCCGAGAATGAAAATCACAAGCAATTAAATCAATGTTGATATACTTGATTTATCAAGATGAGCTATTCAATGGTGGTCAGATTGTCCAGCCGGTATCCAAACTGACAAATTGCAAACAAATTGACAGTTAGTCGTTTACCGACCATGGCAGATGTTAATATACTATTGTGTGAAGCAAGGAAGGTTCTAAATTGAGTACAGTACCAGCTACCGTAGTAGCTATATCATAGATTAAAATACAGATCATTAATTAGCCTACTGTTAATAGTTAATTATTTAAGGTACGAACTGATTCCAGGATTGCCAAGGGTTTATTTGTCAGCAAATACTCGGTATTCCCTATTACATCGACTGATTGTATAACTCTGATTAATATTGAATTTAATGCTCAAACTACATCGTATCACATGCTAGTAAGATTTTTATTATAATTATTGCAAAAGTCGTAATACAGTATAGAGTATACAACTCTTTGGCTTCATATTCATCTTTCTTTAAACAAACGATCGAGTATCAAGTACATAGGTAGACACAATACTGGATGGAACAAGTGTATCTAAACTTAATTTTTTCAAGATAATGAGCATGAATATCCAATTAAGGCAGTATTTATTATAACTAACCAATAAGAACTGATGGAAAATTTTCATTAGTCGATGTTATCTATTCTAGATGACTCAGAATTAATAGAAGCCTTCACTTTGCTCAATTTTTGGATCTAGTTTTTCTAAATACAGTATCTATTTATCATTTCTTCGGATAAACCGCTAAAATAGAGTATCTCTAATATCTAGTATAATAATCGAATAGATTAAAAACGGACAGGCTTAACCTCTACGAAATTAATCCGATTTGAAATTAGAATTCGTCAACACAATACGGTAGCGAGCTAAATTTTGATCGATACGCTCAAATGCAGTGTGACAATGATCCACATCCATAGGATAGATCTCTAATTGCGGCGAGATGTTATGCATGCCTGCAAAATTTAGCATCTTCTGCATCATTATTGGTGAACCAACAAGAGAACCAACAATGCTTCTTTCCGATCCGATTAATAATCCACCGTTCACTTGAAGGGGCTTACTTGCAATACCAATAACAACGAATTTACCTCGTGGTGCTAATAAATTAATATAACTTTCGTAATCGAGGTTTGCACTAACGGTGTTGATGATCATGTCTAAAGGCTTTAATGACTTCAGCTGATCTGCGTCTTTCGTGACAACGAACTCGTCAGCGCCGAATGCACGAGCTTCTTTTTCCTTGTTAGAACTAGTTGATAAAGCGACAACTCGACAGCCCCAAGCTTTTGCAAATTTAATACCGAGATGGCCAAGACCACCGACACCTAGAATGCCAACGCGGCTTCCAGGTTGAACATTATGATTAGCAAGAGGAGCATATACTGTAATTCCGGCACAAAGTAAAGGAGCTGCATCGGCAGATGACATTGTTTCGGGTATATCGTAAAGGAAACGAGAATCCCAAACGACGTAGTCAGCAAATCCACCGATTGGAGCATTTATAAAATTAGTCTTCTCTGGGCAAATATGTTGTTTACCATCATTGCAAACATCACAATTTTGGCAAGAACCTAATTGCCAACCTCCACCAACACGTTGGCCTACCTTGAATTTTTCCACACTACTTCCAACTGCAACAATTTTACCAATAAATTCATGACCAGGAGCTTTTCCTGCAGGGCAGAAAAAGTCAGTATGGCAAACACTACAGCATTCTATATTCATCAAGACATCAAGAGGCTGTAATTGTGGAACATCAATTTGTGCCTTGCGAAAAGTTTGCTTTGACGCATCATCAACAAAGTAAGCCTCGATTTGTTTGGGAATCATAATGTACCACTGTAACTTAGGTGAAATTTGATCCGGTTACTTAATTAATTAATTGATATTTCACTTAATATATAGTTTTTATATTGATCGGCGTTATTCGTTTTTTGCTAAGTCACGATTAGCCAGTCTTTTTCGTATGTGTTATGTAACAGTTACTGTATATCGTTATGTTATATACGAATTATATAGCATATATAACATAATACATATACGTATACAGTACAGTATTCGAGCATGCAGTATTTATCAGAAGCACATGATAGATAGCCATGACCTTTCCAGGGATTTTTTCGAAGTCCATGACCTTTCATATGTCTGACGTGACTACACCAATGCTTTTGTAGCCATTAAAATAAATTAATTAATTATGAATCGAAAGACTGTGACAGACGGACCTATAGCAAATATTTTAAAATTAATTAATTTATACTGTAGTAGGCCCACGCTCTTTATAATTCGCGTGCTCGATTCAGTCTGTATGTACTCTTACTTCTACTTCACTAGCAGCCATGGTAGAATGCACGCTCGTTATACTTCTCGTACTGTGTGACTTGTACCTGTAGTGTATTATAATTAGATATAACATACATAATATAACACAGTACTTAGTGACAGTACTAGTAAGTCTAAGGATATTCTCTGCCTCTATCTAAAGCAATACTCGTCCTATGAGAATTAGTTATCACTTTGCTTGAAAAATAAAATACTGCTGATTTGAAAGAGAATATAGGATCATTGCTCCCCGAGATGTTAACATTTTCCCGTTACTATTCCCTTCTGTCAGACAGATTACTTATTATTATTTTTTAGTACCTGCTAAATTACAGTAAAGAACTAAAATTACATGAAATGGCCTTAAATACACAAGTTTGGTTCTATTTCCAGTAGATATACTATCAATTAGATTAAAATAAAAGTTGCAATAGAACACGACTCGATGTACCACTGTAATTCGACAAGTAATGAATCAAGATAGGCATATAAGAGTACTTGTTGGCAAGCTTGCCAATATCGCTGTATAAACACGATTAATCAATACAAACCTACATTACATATACATCTAAGAGCGAAATAGGCCAAATGAGATTTATGACAGTGTTGTAATATGCATACGTGATCTACGATAGGTATTATTACAGATAATGATATCTTGTTTTTAATTGATATTATTAGATAATTAATACTAAGGAAATAATTCATAGAACAATAATTTTGGAAGTAGATGACTAATAGCGCACGAAAATTGTAATCAATCAATCCTATTTTGAAGTTGCTACAGTCTATTACTAGTCGATAAAATTAGCAAACACTCCTATGAATAGCTAATGCAAACTAGAAAACAGGCTTTTATTTCCGACATGATGCTCATCTTCAATTGTAATTTCAGTAATGATAATATAAAATTCTTTATACGTAGAATCTACACTAAAAAGTGAGTTTACTCTGATACATAGAAAGGAAAAAGTACAATTATACAGTAGACTACACGGGTATTACGAGTGATCGATCTACCAGTACGTTATTTTAAAATCTTATATAGTATGTAAGATTGCTATATAATTGAACGGTTGTAAATAAAGCTGTTTATCATGCATGAACCTACTCGTACGAAAAGCTCGATAATAATTCTAGAGTTTATTAAATAATACATAAAGTAGGTATGATTAAGTAGGTTTAATTTTGGATGCTAGGCCATTTATTAGGAGTTAAAATTATTAAGTAATATCCATCCGAGAATGAAAATTACAAGCAACTAAATCAATATAAATATGATTTATCCAAAATGGATAATTTTAATGGTGGTCATATTCGCCAGCCGGGCAATACCGATCAATAGCTGTACAAATAGACAAATAAACAA